TCCCCCTACAGGCAATGTTGTTCCGGGATGATCTTTGGGTCCAGCACGGCAGGCAATTCGTTTCTTGACATTGCCTGCGGGGGGAAAGATTGCCTCCAGGGGCATCTGAGAGCTTTAACCCATCCGAATCTGGTTGGTCTTGGGGCACACCCACAGGTGCCCCAAAAAACCATCGCAAAACCCTTTATCAGGATCGAAACTGGTGGATTCCGAGGCGCACACCACATCGCAAAACCCGTTTATCCGGTCCGACATTGGTGGGTTGTGATCCGGCGTCGGAAAGTGGCGACTTGGAGCAGGCCGCGGACTAAAATTCTGCCGGTTGCATCGCGTGGCCAGCGGCTGACCCAGCACAACTTCTCGCGCACTCGCACTTGCGGCCCGTAGGGTCTGCATGCATTAATTATGGCTACAATTTAGCCACTTCCGCATGGTGCGGGCATCGCCAAAGTGGCGGGGTGAAACTCCACCTAAATCCAGTCCTACCTGCCAAGGTCCTAGGACTGGGAGTGGAGTCCACATCCCGTGAGGGGCTGGGAGTGGCAACCACTTACCCAGTGACACGCTGGGGAGGAAACCTCACCCAGCGGGGGAACTTCATCCCTGGGCGTGGTGTCCACAGCCCCTCACGGCGGCCAAAAGCGCGCCGTGGCCTCTACGTGGGATTGGGTCATTAAATGACCTCCCATGTGCTCAGCGCTGGGTGCGCTGATCCCGCACGCGTAGCAGTAGAGGCAATCAGCGCTGAGGAGAGGCGGACGGATGTCCTCATCCTCTTGCTTGACCGCGCCCTCTGGCGCTGGTGGCGCGGCCCCAGCAGCCGTGCCGGAGCCCGGCTCAGGCACTGGCGGCTCGGCTTGGGGCTGTTCCGTGGCCCCCGCCGCCTCGTCTTCTGCAGCTGCCTGAAGAGACTCCGGAGACTCCGGAGCCTCCTCCACCATGGCTTGGAGCTCATACTTGCCGCGAGCGCGGAGTATTATATGGAGAGCTCGCGAAGGCTGGTGAGCTCCCAGCACTCCCTGAGGAGTCTCGCCGCTGTGGCCCTGGAGCTGATCCGGACCTGAACGCTCGTGGCAAAGGCAGCTGTCCTGCAGTCCACGTGCAGGGTCAGCTCCCCTCCAGCGGAGGAGAGGCGGCGGGCGCCGGGGCTATGAGGGAGCCCGAGGAGGTGGCACCCTCCTGAGGGGTCCCAAAGGCTCCATGTATCGTCATAGGCGATACTTGGGCTAAAATGTGCCCAGAGGACAGACACATGGGTCTGAGACGCAACGCGGGATTTGGTCGGGTTTCAAGACCTCACTCTTGATGGGTTGGGTTTGCACTCTTACTTATATACGGGAGTCGAAAACCTGACTCTGGATGGGTTGGGCTTGCACATTTGCTTGCATGGTGGGGTTTGAAAATCTGACTCTTCATGGGGTTGGGCTTGCACTCTCAGTGGGGTTTGAAAACCTGACTCTTGATGGGGTTGGGTTTGCACTCTCAGTGGGGTTTGAAAATCTGACTCTTGATGAGGTTGGGTTTGCACTCTCAGTGGGGTTTGAAAACCTGACTCTTGATGGGTACGGTTTGCCGAATTCTTACGTATATGGTGGGGTTTTGAGACCTCATTCGTGGGCATCTTTACCTGTCCATTTTATATTTATTATATAATTCGCTATATTAATATTAGGTGTCCCGTCTTCTCAGGTTGCTCGTGTACTGTGGGTCAAATTATTATTGTAATTTGTGTATGTGTGTGTGTGTGTGTGTCTGATTGTGTGTTGTGTGTGTGTGTGTGTGTGTGTTGTGTGTGTGTGTGTGTTCACACACGTGTGTGTATATTGTGCACTTTAAATTGCATGTGTGCATGTGTGCATGCATGTGTGTGCGGGGCAGTGTACATGCGGGCTTTGTGTATCGTGCTGCTGCGACACAACCTCCGTGCTCATGAGGAACCTCGAGCATGTATTACGACGGAGGCGACGAATCGAATAGTACATGTAGTGTGCGAACATGAACGCATTACATGGTGCACTTTAAAGATCGATGGACAAGCAGGGGCGGGATAGTGCATATGTGTAATTTATATGCTCGAAGGCATGTACATGTGTGTAAGCTGACATACGTACTACATGTACGCATATGCTATATATCATGATATCTAGAGCTCGGTTCCATATAATTAATTCCAAGCAGTTTTTGCGATGCCCGGCCGCTGGGCCATTTTGGCCAACGGCGCCTTGAAGAGGAAGGCAAGAGGTGCGGCCACCCCCTGCATGCTCATGATCAGGGCCGAGCATCATGAGTTGCAGATCCGGTTGTGCTGCACTATAAACGTGTGCGACATGTCAGCGGGGCTCGAGAATGTGTACGCAAGAGTGCGGCAGCATGACATGCTAGGCCTAGGACACTTCGATGTTTAAAGGTTCGGATCGGCCGGAGCTTGCATTAAGGTGCGACTTTCAAAGAAAACTGCACGTGCATAGATACCACATAGTCGGCATGGAGGGCGATGGCTTGAAGATCATGGACGGTGTTCGCAAAGATCCCAATGGCGAACTTATTCATGGGAAACAGGTCATTCGACCAGTTCGGTTTTTCGTCAGCGAGACTCAACTTAAAATCATCGGTCTGCGTTTTTTCATATCGATGCCCTGGTGCATGATGGCACAGACCCGAGGACCAGGCCTTGTTGATCGTTTCGGCTTTGCGAGCCAATGTCGAAGCCCGCATCGGCGAGCTCAGATCTGACACGGCGACTCAACTGCGAATTGTGTCTACTATGTAGGTACTAATTAGGAGCCTTCGCGACGACGTTTGCATCATGTCTTTGGAGCCTAGGAGACCCGTCTCATAGATATCCCGGATAGCGAGACGACGAAGATTCAGAAAGAGGATATCCAAAACACGAAGAATTTCTCAGTGCTGAAGGCTTACGCTGCATCCCTGTTCCAGGGAGTTTCCGAGAGAAAGCAGCTGATCAGCTGCAAGGAGCATCGGTCGGCTGTTTGCTACCTGGCCTTGGTTTACGAGTTGATTAAGATCAAAAAGGAGGCAGGAGCGAAGACCAAGTTCAGAGAATGGGGGGAGTTGCAGGGTACCCGCCTGCGCTGGTTGGCAAGCTACGTCATCCACAGTGTGTGTCGGACTTCCTTTTCGAGGACAGCACCACGGCACATGCAATACGAACACTTTGATTGAGTGAGTGTTTTAATCCTGCAGCATATATTATGATTCACTGAT